GTGTGGTGTGGCCAGGATGAATGTGAGCGTGTGGTGTGGCCAGGATGAATGTGAGCGTGTGGTGTGGCCAGGATGAATGTGAGCGTGTGGTGTGGCCGGAGCCGGTGTGGGCGTGTGGTGTGGCCGGGACCAGTGTGACCGTGTCGTGTGGCCGGGACCAGTGTGACCGTGTCGTGTGGCTGGGACGAGTGTGAGCTGCTGGAACACTCAGGTGCCGGCTCGAGGCCCATTGTGACCCGCTCCTCTCTCAGCAGGTTCCCTGTCACATTCGGAATGCAACACTCCTCCACAGTCCCCCCTCAGCCTCGACACCCTCTCGTCCTGCAGCCAGTCCCAGACCTTAGCTTCCACGTTGCCTAGAATTGCTATCAACCCTGCATCCCTTGGGGAATGGAGAAAGGACAGGTGAGCACTTGCCTAGACAGCACCTGGGTCACGGCCAGTCCGCTCCTGTGAGTTCCGTCCTAATTTGGTTCTCAGCGCTTGGCTGCTGTCGTGTGTGCCACCTGGCGTGTGCCAGAGTCTTGCTCTAGCATGCAGACACATGATGCAAGAGCTGACCCCACCAGAGGCGGTGGGGCACACGCAGACGGGAAGGTCAGGAGCAGGTTTTCAAAAGCGAGGGTGGGTCCACTTGGACACTGGAGATAAACCTGATAGTGACCAAGAGGTGGTGATACTGTTTGCTTCCCTGAAATTTCACCTGAAATTCTCTCAATAACCCTGCAAGATGATGGTTGTGATTATTAGCCCATTTAAGAGATGAGGCAACTGAGGCCAGACAGCTGGAGTGATCTGTCTGTGGTGCCATGTGATTGGCCTAACCTAACTTTGATCCAGGACTCAGTGTTTGCTCTGGGGCCCAGAACATGGCTGCACCTCTTGGCTCTTTTTACTTTTTTAAAGCTTTTCATTGAGAAATATACACATAAAAAAAGTACATGAAGCATGAGTGTAGCCTAGCCAGTCATTATAAATGCGTGGATCTTAAATGGATATTTGGTTCACTGTGGGCTCCTGGTGTGGCGCTGTGGGATCAGCATTGGACTGCGAACCACAAGGTTGGTGGTTCAAACTCACCAGCTGCTGCTTGGAAACCCTGTACAGGGTTGCTGTGAGTCGTAATCGACTCGACGACACTTAACAACAGCAACAAGTTTCACTGTAGGCCAGCTGTCAGCCCAGACGCTCCATCCACCCTGTCCCTGCACACTGCTCTTTGGATACCTCCCCTCCTTGTCCTGCCCTAGTAGAATTTCCTGCATCATTTATATATTTAAAAGGTTCTTTCAAGCTAAGCTTGTCCAGTCAGATCCCCAAAACTGGTGGTCCTGTGTAGCTGCGTGCCTTGGAAAGAACATTTAGAAAACTTGTCTTTGACTGAAAACTCTGACTTGTAAAACAACAAGCCTGGCCAGGCGTTCGTGGAGATCCTACTGGCCCCAGTAAGGGAACAGTGCTCAGTTTATATGAAACGTCCATGAAGTTCCCACCCTGTAATGTTGGTATAGACACACATCTGTCGTGCTGGTGCCATGGACTGGTTTTCTTAACCCATCTCTGGTCATTGATGAACAAGCTCAGGCTCCGGAAAGAAAGAGTTCCCTAGGAACCAGAAAGTCCTCGTCATTATGCAACCAAGCCTCCCCATCGCCTCTACAATGTACGGAGAGCCTGGAACTGCTCTGCGAGGAGGGAGACAAGTGTCAGCCATCTCTGCCTTTGGGATGCTCATAGTCATAGAGACATAAAAGTTGGCATGTGTCCTAAACAAAATCCCACCATTGAGGCAACTCCAACTCTTAGTAAATCTGTAGGACAGAGTGGAACTGCCCCGTAGGCTTTCCAAGGCTGTTGTCTTCCACGAGCAGCCACTGACTTCAAACTGCTGACTTTTCAGCACTAACAGAGCATTAACCACGCACAGTGTCACCAGGCTCCCTGAAGAATGGTTTAGATGTTAAAAAGAATCCTCACTTCCCCCAACTCTCACAACACACACAGAATCTGAAGTAAACTATCGTGGAAGTGTTTATAGAAAATCAGAAAAGTAGAGAAAAGAAAGAAAGAGAAAAAAAAAAAAAATCACATAAAATCTTATCAACCAGAGATTCAGTTGCTTTGGTACCGTTGAGGTAAGTCAAAAAGTAACTCTACGAGAGTTCCAGTTCCTACATGCATCGGTTTAATGCAACCCAGACACATTTAAACATAGCTCTGCGATCAATGGATGGCCGCAAGCAAGTTCTGTTAGTAATCTCCTTAGACTACATTTTGTGCCACAGAAAAACATGATTTTGAGGTCAGGACAAAGATCAAATGCTTGCCAGAACTCAAGTGGCCATTTCCCCAAATCATTTTTCAGTGGAACTTGGCACAGTGAGTGCCAAAAGTATTGTTTTTTAATGACCAGCTTCAGGATTGAAGCTCATGAAGATGATTCTGTGCAACTAATTGTAACCAGGGACAAGCTGTGAGCTTAAAAGCATGACCCAGAGAGCAAGGTCCAATTAAAACGATGGTGGCTTTGAGGGGGCAAGAGGGCTCAGCTCAGGAAAGTATGACAGGTGTTTTGTAAGACTCCAAAGCAGTCACCGAGATCGAATACAGGACAATCCTGGGCTATTATGAAGAGGTTTTCAGAAAATTCAAAACTTCCTTGGTGAGAACAAAACCAGGCAATATATACCGAGGAATCTTTTCCCTCATGAGCATCCACTTGCTCATCCTTTCAGGGTAGCGATGGCTATTCTGTGAGAATTTCATTGGGAAACTTTCTCCACACCTTACAGTGCTGATTTTGCCCCTTCAGATTTTTTTTGTCTCCAAAACTTAAAGCATATTGAAAAGGAATATGATTGGATTCCCTTGAGGATTCCAAAACCACAGCTCTAGCATGGTACAAATTGAAGAGCATAGACGTCTTTGGGAAAAAATGTTAGAGAGGTAGAAAAATCTGTCACTAAATATGTATAGACCTTGTTGTTGAGTGCCCTCAAGTCGATTCTGACCCATAGCGACCCTGTATAGGGTTTCCTAGGAGCAGCTGGTGAGCTTGAACCGCTGACCTTGCAGTTTAAACAGCTTTGCAGTCTGGCACATTAACCCACAGCGCCACACCGGGAGGGAGGATATACCGAAAAGCAGTAGCTTCACATTTTGATTGTTTTGTTTCATAAAAATGCCTGTGATTTTAGAGCAGTACTTGTTGACTTACCCTTGTTTATTTTTAGGCATGATTTATTTTATTTCTGCTCATTTTGCATATATAATCACACCTCTCTTAGTTGTGTTTTGTGCTGTTGGCTATATAATGAAATACAGTTCATTAATCTCTGTTGGAAAACAGCCTTATTATTCTAAGAAAAATTATTTGTGCTTAAAAACAAATTTAAATTATCTAGAAGAAAAAGGGAAAGCAGTAAACATTACCTAAAATGCTCCCATTTCTGTGGAAATTTCTTTACGTGTAAATGTTAAATGCAGTTGAGTCATTTTATAGTGTGACCTTATATAGGATTTCCTAAGCTTTAAGTCTTCTAGGGAGCAGAAGGCCTTACTTTTCTCCTGCAGAGCGGCTGGCGGGCTCCAACCTTGGACCTGTAGTTCGCAACCAACCCAGTGCTCCCCTTATGAAGTCACCAGGCCCCCTTTATGTCTCGTGAGACATACAGATGTTTGCACAGATTCATCTGAGAGGCATTACATTATAATAATTTACCTTCCCATGGCATTAAATATTGGCTCCTGTCCTCATTCCTAACAGCTTCCTGGCCACCTGCTGTGTACCTGTTATAACTCAACTTATCTGCTGCTCTATCGAGAACGATGTTGTGATGTTGTTGGGCTTGGGACAAAGGAAAGGCACCCCGTTATTAATGAGGACTCCATATTGGGTCTGCAGGGGTGACCTCAGGAGAGACCTTAGGCTGAGGGCATGGGGATGGTTACTGGGTGCCTGCTTTCCAAGGGTGGTGTTCTAATGCATGTGGAATTTCAGAAGTGACTGGGACTAGCCAGGGGCTGATGTGTCCAAGCAGGAAGGTCAAGGACACCGTTGCAGAATAGTTAGGCCTGGAAAATTGAGGAGGCTGCGCAGGGTAGAGGGAGGAGAAAGGGTGATTCAGGAAGAATTTGAATCTCAGTATCATAATCTGATAGCGTAGTGGTTATGAATTGGGCTGCAAACCGCAAGGTCAGTAGTTCGAAACTACCAGCTGTTAACGCTGGAGAAAGATGAGACTTTCTGCTCCCATAAAGATTTACAGCCTCAGAAACCCTGTATAGGGTCGCTATGAGTTGGAACCGACTCCACGGCACATAACCACCACCACCATCATCATCTTGGTCCTAAGCAGTGGGAACCCACCTGAGGTCTGGTGGGTGCAAGATTGCTTTGCGCTGGGTAGCAGGGGATGGGTTCCCCACTAACCATGTGCTCTGGAGTGGGGAGTACCGACACGTGGGAGAACTGGGGTTTTATGTCCTGGGAGGATGAGGCCCCAGCACTGTGGAGAAGCAGTCCCCACCGAGCTGGTCCATTCCTGCCGTCTGTGGTTGTCTTCTTTCTCTGAGTTCGGACTTGTGCTCTTTACACATGTCTGAGAGTGCCGGTGGCTACCAGTCCTGGGTCCTCTTCTCTGAGGAGTCTGGTAGCAGTCAGTGCATGGTCCTGTGTGTCTGTCCTGCCCTTGTGAATGGCCTAGGCATGCAGCTGCTTAATTCCCATGGCCACATTGCATCACCCCTGGTAGCCAGGCAGTAGAAGAACTGATCTCCTTTGGTGTCTTCTTCGGGAACATTATCCCAGAAACTTGCTCTTGCTCAGAGGGCGTTTTGAAACTCACTGAAGTGTGTAAATTGCGTATTGTGTGAGGCACCTTCTGCACACCTCACAAGAATCTGTTTTCCTTCCTCCGTGTATGAGTGTGTGTGGCACACATCTTCTTTTTGGGGTCCATTTTGGGGTGCGGCATTTGCGTTGTCTGAGTGTGTACCCATGGATGTGTTCGCGTTTGCCATTGACCCGTTAACCATGCTTCCATTTAGCTGTGCTCATGACAGGAGCCATTTTGTGCTCTGAGGCCTTTTCAGCATTTCTGGCTGCCTGGCAGACTGGAGACGTTTCCCTGAGCCTGCCCCTTGGGTCTGAGTCCTGAGTCCGTTAACTGTTTCCCAGGCCTTACGTGGAGGAGCCGCGCCACGTCAAAGTGCAGAAGGGCTCGGAGCCGCTGGGGATCTCCATCGTGAGTGGAGAGAAAGGCGGGATCTACGTGTCCAAGGTCACCGGCGGGAGCATCGCTCACCAGGCCGGCCTCGAGTATGGGGACCAGTTACTCGAGGTAAGAGGGAGCTGATCTGTGCGTTGTGTCCACAGCCAAGCCCACCTGTTTACCCTTCCCGCTTTGCACTCGCAGTCCTCCCACCTCCCCCTTGTCTCCTCCATGCCTGCACCCCTCCCCGTCCCCTGGCCCCTGCCCTGTCCCTGAGCCTGTTGTGGGTGTGTCCCCAGTTCAATGGCATCAACCTGCGGAGCGCCACAGAGCAGCAGGCCCGGCTCATCATTGGACAGCAGTGTGACATGGTCACCATCCTGGCTCAGTACAACCCATACATGCACCAGCTCAGCAGCCACTCCCGGTCCAGGTGCTGGCCGAGTGAGGGGGTGGGCAGGGGATGGGCCAGGCGCCAGCCCAGAGTGTTGTGGATTCTGCTCCTGGCGAGAGGAGTGCTGACTGACCCTGGATTTGGGGGTCCACCTGGGGTAGGCCTCCAATAGGAGGCAGCATGCATGGGCATTTGTTAGTGAAAAGCTGGGACGCTGGGTGTGGGATTCTCTAGAGTGGTCAGTCCAGGTCACTGTCCACGCACACACACAAGTCCCTGATGCTGTGGGTGGGGGCAGGATCCGTACCATGCGGGGTGCAGAGACCTCTGAAAGGGTGCATATGGAAGATACACTGGGACCTGGACAGACGGAGGAGCACCAAGCCGTGCCTGTGGGTGCAAAAGTAGTCCCTTCTCTTCAGAGCTTCAGGGCTGTGTGGTTCTGGTCCCACCCACAGCCTAAGCCCCCTACTCCCAGCCTGAAAGGGCAAGGCTCTGATCTCTTTTCTGCCCATCTCCAGTTCCCACCTGGACCCCACCAGCAACCACTCCGTGCTGCAGAGCAGTGGAGCCACCACCCCAGAGCGTACTTCTGTCATTGACCCACTGATGGAGCAGGACGAAGGCCCAGGGACCCCTCCAGCCAAGCAGAGCACACCCAGCCCCAGGTCAGCAAATGAGCCAAGCCCATGCTACTCTCCTCACGTTCTGCTGGGGGAAGGGAAAGGGAGAGCTGGCCTCGTGTGCAGAGCGCAAGTCATTCAGCAGATGCTTACTCTATAGCTCTGAGGAGCCAGGAGCTGCAAAGAGATAGTCCCTGGCCCTCTAGGAACTTACAGTCTAAGCCTGGGAAAGAGCTGATGGTTTGGGAACCCGAGTGAAAGGCTTAGAGACGAGTTAATGGCCAGGATGCAGCGAGGCTACGCAGGGTATTCCTATCACGAGCACATTGTGTGAGTGTGTGTGTTTGGGGTGGGGGGAGGGCTTCAGCAGGGACCACGGACAGCACCCATGCTGTGTGCCCACACCACAGGGCTTCAGGGTCTGGCTGGAGGTAGGCCAGTCTTACCTTCTTCCTCCCTCCCTGCTGCTGTTCCTTTCTGTCTTCTCTCAGTGACTCATTCTTTCCCTAGGAGTTCTCATTTCCTCCTTACCTGATGTGCGTTAGCTCACACAGGACCTACCACCCAAGGGCCTCCTCAGTATCCAGCCACCCACAGGGCGTTTTGTCATCAGGGAGCTCCCAGTTAGAGGGGACAGGCAGTGGCCGGGGGCACACAGCGCAGAGGAAGTGCCATGAGGGAAGCCGCTATGAGTGCCCAACTGTGGTGGGGAGGGGTGAGCTGGCAGCAGTAGCCACAACACTTCACACACCTGGATGCTGGGCCCTGGGGGAAACTGGGTCTCTCCCAGAAAGTGGTCATCTTCCATTCTTTGAACCAGCTCTTTGAATTGCAAGTTGTTAATGAGTCTTCCTCCAATCCTGATGCTACAGTCTCTGCGGCTGCCTTCTCTCTGAGGGGCCTATGCCAATCCCTATTGCTACCCCCTATTTCTTTCGGTCTGCTGATATCCTGTGATGGAAAGTTCCTAGATGGCAAGAGACCGTCCCTTTGCAGTTCCTGATCTATGGAAGATGCTGAGTAAATTGTGCTCCCAGACAGTGAGGACAAATCTTACTCTTCTTAAGCAAATATAAATTAGAAGAGTAGGTGCCATTTAAGTGGGAGCAATGCCGCAGCCCAGCCTTGATTTTGACTGTCTTCCTAACTGGTTTTTTGACATTGACTTTGAGCTATCATCTTTTTACTTTCTCCAAATTGTATTGTTGTTGGGTGTCTCTAAGGCAACTGCAGCTCATAGTGACCCTGTATGCAGTAGAACGAGATGCATCCTGGTTCTGACCATGTTCACGATGACTGTATTTGAACCCATTATTGTAGCAACTGTGTTAGTCCATTCGTTTGGGGTCTTCCTCTTTTTTGCTGACCCTCTTTTATCAGGAGTCCTGGTGTGGCACTATGGGTTGATGCGCTCAACTGTAAATTTGTTTGAATCAGAAGGTCGGCAGTTCAAGCTCACCAGTAGCTTCTCAGAAACCCTATACAGGGCCACTATGGGTCGGAACTCACTCAATGGCACTTCACAAAAACAACTATTTTATCAAACGTGTTTTTCCAGGGACTGGTCCAAGGTGTACATGAGAGGCAGTCTTGTCACCCTTGATTTTAAGGAACATTCTGACTTCTTCAGGACAGATTTGTTCATTCTCTTAGTAGTTTGCGGTACTTTGAGTATTCTTTGCCACAGAATTAAAAATAATTGATTCTTGTTTGATCTTCATTATTCATTCATTGTCTTGCTTTCACATACATATGAGATCATTAAAACGGTCATAGCTTGACCCAGATAAATCTTAGTCCTCAAAATTGCATCTTGACTTTTTAACACTGAAACAGTGGTGTTTTGCAGCATATTTTGACAGTATAATAAGGAGTTTGGTTTCTTGGCTGCTGCTTGTGTGAGTGATGTTTGTGGATCCAAGTAAAATGAAATTCTTGATAACTTCAGTCTTTTCTCTGTTTATCATGGTGTTGTTTATTGGTCCAGTTGTAATCCAGGCCGAAGGCTGCACTCTGTGGTCTTCATCAGTAAGTACTGTAAGTCCTCTTCACTTTCAGCAAGGTTGTGTCATCTGCATATTGCAGGTTGTTAGTGAGTCTTCTTCTAATCCTGATACCACTTCCTTCTTCATATCATCCAGTTTCTTAGATTATATGCTTTTTAGGTTAATTAAATACGGATTGAATAAGTATGGTGAAAGGATGCAATCCTGGCACACACCTTTCTCGGTTTTAAACCACTCAGTGTCTCCTTGTTCTATTCAAATGACTGCCTCATGGTCTGTGTTCAGGTTCCGCATGAATACAATTAAGTGCTCTGGATTTCCCATAATGTTCTCCATAGTTTGTTATGACCCACACAGTCAAATGCCTTTGCATAGTAAATAAAATACAAGTAAACATTTTCTGCTCTTAGCCAAGATCCATCTGACGTCTGCATGTCCTTTGTTCCCTATTATCTTCTGAATCTGACTTGAATTACTGGTAGCTTCCTGTCTATGTACTTCTGTAACTGTTTTTGAATTATCTTCAGCATAAGATGTGCTTGTGTGTGATACATGATATATTGCAAGATAATTTCTGCATTCTGTATGATCACCTTTCTGTAGAACAGGCACGGATATCCAGTTGTTTGGCCAGGTAGCTGTTTTGCAAATTACTTGACGTGTGTGAGTGAGCGCCTGCAGCATTGCACTGGTTTGTTCAGACAGCTCGGTTTGTATTCCATCAATTTCTGGTGCCTTGTTTACAGTGCAGCTTTTACTTCCTCATTCAGTACCGTCGATTTTTGATCATTTGCTGCTTCCTGGAATGGTTGAACATCAACCAATTCTTTTTGGTTCAGTGACTCTGTGTATTATTTCCATCTTCCTGCGTCATTCGGTATTGTGCTTGTAGACTCTTTCAGGGTTGCAAGTCGAGGCTGGAGATTCGTCTTCAGTTTTTTTTCAGAATACCTGCATTGGGCCCTGTAAAATGAGTCAATGGAAGTAGCGCTTACTACGAAACAATCTCTCAGTTCCCTGTGATGCCCCCCTAAGACGTGCTCTCCTACCTCCCAGAGTATGATTAAGGAACTTCATTTTTCTCTCTGAAAGGATTGTGGGTGATACCAACAAGAAGACCCCAGAGCCACGCATTGTCTTCATCAAAAAGTCTCAGCTGGAGCTTGGGGTGCACTTATGTGGCGGGAACCTGCATGGGGTGTTTGTGGCCGAGGTGGAGGATGACAGTCCTGCCAGGGGCCCTGACGGCCTCATGCCAGGAGACCTCATCCTCGAGGTGAGTGCTGAGTCGCTGAACTGGCCAGGTCCCTCACGATCCCTCACGCTGGGCTCACTGCAGCCTCCGATGATCCTGGAGGTAGGGGAGCACCCGTGTGCACACGACGGCCCCTGTCTATGCTTCTGTCTACTCCTTATAAACCCGAGTGCAGGTCTCTGGGAAGTGAGGGAACTCGAGGCAGTGGCCAGCCTGGGCACTGGGACCTCATGAGCTCTAATGGGATCAGGGAGCATTGACACCCCACACACACACACACACACCCCAATGATTCCACTGCTGAAGGGGGAGGATAGCATATGGAAATGTAAACTGAGTGGCCACACCTGGGGGGGACTAGAGTAGGATTTCCTCTGGGACACGATCTTGATGTCCAGAGAGTGGGCACAGGGCCGCATGCTGGGGGAGACCACATGGGCCCAGCCCCACCTCCACAGGGGAGGGACGCGGGCCACAGCTCACTTTAGACAGCACTGAGGTTCTGCCTTACCTCCAGCTGCCCCTTGTAGGTGAAATTGGTGCCTGCCTTTCTGACCCCTTTGCTTGTTCTGGGCAGTATGGCACACTGGACACACGTAACAAGACGGTGGAGGAGGTGTATATGGAGATGCTGAAGCCCAAGGATGGGGTCCGCCTGAAGGTGCAGTACCGCCCCGAGGAGCTCAGCAGGGTCAAGGGCCTGCCTGGGGACGGCTTCTACATCAGGTACCAGAGGCAGGGTCCAAGGCTGGGGGGCTTCGGGGGTACTGACCCACAAGCTTATGGAGAGGTGCTTGTGACGTGAAGGTATAAGGGCTCTCTTATTTAGGCTCAGGGCCTTTTCCTGGGGGCTGGGTGCCTTTCCGGACCCAGGTCTGCAGATCCCATTGTAGGGTGTAAATGGGCTTTAGGCATCCATAGTGCCCGGCTATGTTTGGGTGCATGAGACAGCATCAGGCATTTTCTAGGAGGGTCTCATAGCTTCCTAAGATCGGAGACCACACACACACAAACCCCCAAGAACCACTGATCAACTGAGTACCACAAGGTCCAGTTCCCTGTGTGGGGGCCCTGTGAGTAGGGGAGACATCGTGTTTCTACCCGAAGGAATTTCTATTCCGTAGCATCCTTGACCATAGCTCAGGAAGTGGAAGGCATGGCTTTGGTCCTGGGCAAGCAGCTCTTCATCTCACGGGGATGAGGCCAGGCCTGTTCCCAGGAGCCCTCTTTCTGAGAGAAGCATGCCACGTATCTGGAAGGAAGGCACATCTTTGTCCTTTTACATCAGAGGCAGGAGCCCCCAGCAGGATGAGGAGAGGTCTTGGGGAAAACTCAAGCTGAAGGCTTAGGGCACCCCTGATGGGCTTTGCAACCCGCTCTCCCCAGGGCTCTGTACGACCGGCTGGCCGAGGTGGAGCAGGAGCTGAGCTTTAAGAAGGACGACATCCTCTACGTAGATGATACCTTACCCCAGGGCACAATCGGCTACTGGATGGCCTGGCAACTGGACGAGAACGCCCAGAAAATCCAGCGTGGGCAGATCCCCAGCAAATACGTGTATGTGTGTGTGTGTGCACGCCCCAGGGTTGGGTGTGGGGTGTGGCACATGGTACAAGGAATTAGAGCCATCCCATGGGGAATGGATGGGTGTTGGGGGCATGTTGTTGTTTCTCAATGCCGTTGAGTTGATTCTGACCCATAGTGACCTTGCATAGGGTTTCTGAGGAGTGGCTGGTGAGCTTGAACTGTGGACCTTACAGTTCAGATCGATCTTTAAGTCCAGCACATTAGTCCTCAGCACCACGCCAGGACGTGGTGGTGGTGGTAGAGGTGTGCTGTGGAGTTGGTTCTGACTCATAGTGACCCTGGACAGGGTTTCTGAGGCTGTAAATCTTTATGGGAGCAGAAAGCCTCATTTTTCTCCCACGGAATATCTGGTAGTTTGTACTGCTGACCTTGAGGTTAGCAGCCCGACTCATAGCCACTACGCTCCCAGAGCTCCTTTCACTAGGACACAGGAGACTGATTCTGCTGCTCTGGTCCTGTCCGTTGGCTCCAGGTTACTTGTTTGGAAAGCTGTTCTGAGCATAAGCCTACATTTTACAGAAGGCAGTTCTGGAAGCATAAGCTTTTAATATCTCAATGGTTCCTTTCGACATTGACATGAACTTGTCATGGTTGGAAATAACCTGCTCTTTAAGCTCGTGCCTGAACACTGGTGTCAACTGTGTGTGTGTGTGTGTGTGTGTGTGTGTGTGTGTGTGTGTAGGGCCTGTGGGGCGTCTGTGAAGCCTGCAGAACGTCCACCCCATGGGCAGTGTGGGTGTGGAGGGCCTGTGGGGTGTCTGTGAAGCCTGCAGAACGTCCACCCCATCGGCAGTGTGGGTGTGGAGGGCCTGTGGGGCATCTGTGAAGCCTGCAGAACGTCCACCCCATCGGCAGTGTGGGTTTGGAGGGTCTGTGGGACATCTGTGAAGCCTGTAGAACATCCACCCCATGGGCAGTGTGGGTGTGGAGATGTGCCTGCGGCCTTTCCCCAGCACCCTTACTTTCTCTGACCGCAGGATGGACCAAGAATGCTCCAGGAGGCTCAGCACATCGGAAGTCAAAGATGACAACAGCACCTCCAAGACGCTCTCAGCAGCTGCCCGCAGGTCATTCTTCCGCAGGAAACATAAGCACAAACGCAGAGGGTCCAAAGATGGGAAAGACCTCCTCACCTTGGATACCTTCTCCAGTGACTCGATTCCGCTCTTCGATGGCAAGTGACTTCCTTTTCACCTGTGGATGAGGTGTTGTGAGGTTAACTTTTCTGTCACCCAAGAGTGGCACCGGTCCTCACAGCCTTTGGTTGTGCGGCTTCCACCACCAGGGCTCCCAGGTTTCAGGCAGGAAGCAGGGAGGCAAGAGGGCGTGTCTTTAAAGAGCTTGTCCAGGCAGGCTTCCACCTCATGGCTCCCACCTCCTCCTCATGGCCATTCGTATCTGCAGGGAGACTGGGAAAGGAACGTTTTACCGCTGTGCCTTGCTGGCCCAGTAACACAGATTTTGTTAGGGAGGGAGTGGGTGGCGTTGAATAGATGTAAATAATCTGTTCAATGGTGCTGCGTTGAGTGTGTGTTCAGTGTTACAGGCTGCTTGGTGGTGGCCTTGTCTAGCCTCGCTGAAGCATCCTACAGGTTAGGACAGTGACCCAGGACTAGACTTGCTGTTGAGGTGTTAGGGGTTTCTTGGTGGATGGCCTTTAGAAAGGGCGTATTTGTCCTGTAACGTGGCCTTGGTGTGTGTCTGCCGCCCAAGAATGTGAGCCCTTGGTGGGCAGCATGTTCGGGGCAGTGAACAACAGATGGTATGACAACTAAATTCCTCTTTTTTTTTTCTTTAAAAACTTTTTACTGTGAGTTGAGTAAAGATTTATACATCCACCAGTTCAATACTCAGCAGATTGTATGCTTCGTATCAGTACAATGATTGTAATCCCTTCTGTGCACTATCAGTTACCAGTGTATTTACTGCTGGCACCTTAACTCTTACCCTCCTCCCTGTATCACCCACTGTCTCCATCTGCCTGTGCCAACATCCCTCTTGTCCTGTATTGCCCTCCCATCACCCAAGTTAACTTTCCCTTCCTTCCCACCCATGGCAACCATCATAAAATGCTTCTTTTATCAAGAAAACCCTTTGTTAACATTTTACAATCAAGACCTTCAATGCCAGTTCAAACCCACTAGCTGCTCCTCGGAAACCCTATATAAGGGTCACTGTGAGTCTGAACCAAGTGGACAGCACATAACAGAAACATTAGGTGCCTACATTTGTTGGATTGCTGTATCTCTAGTAAATGGAACCTTTCCTCATTGGGAAATGTCTTTTACAAGAACGCTTTTTAGTAACGTTTCTTGTCTTGAAATCTGTTTCATCACATGTAGTGCTCTCACCAGCTTTCTCTTGGTGGGTGCTGGAACCGTTGATCCTTTACCAGTTGTTTTTTTTGTTTTTTTTTACTGCCAACTTTTCTGCCTTTGTATTTAAACACTTCTTATAAGTAAGTAGTTTATATTTACTTTTTTTATTTTAAAAAATTACTGTGTTAACATTTTTTAAATTGGACTTGAAAAAGTACCATAAACGGAGTCTGGCTGAGAATATTTGTATATGTGATGTGTGTCATCACATCCATTATTCTATCATAACTGACATCACTGTGCACTTGGTTAGAATCTTACTGAGTATTGTACATCTTAGCGTATCTCTTGCTCCAGCAATTAGTAAAATATTAATGCATTTCCTTTGAAAGTAAGCAACAGTGATCTGTATTCTTGAACCATAAGCTATCACAAGTCATTTTGTATAAACATACTTTCCCAGTGTGTAATCAGAATCATCAGTCATTTGCCTTTTCACCCCAGGCCATCCGGAAATTCTGTCATGGAGAAAAAGCGCACTGTGGAAGTTTTCCTCCTCCCTTTCAATGTTTATTTTATTTTTCTTTCCTCGTTTATAAAAAAGTTTCCAATATTCAAAACTCAGTTCAAGGTCTTGATTTCCATGGAAAGAGGTCAAGATAAGCACAGGTTTGCCCATGTACTTGATAGTTAAGCAGCACCAAGGTAGCTTTGTTAGGGTAGGTTCTGTCCCCCACAGCCTGCAGAGGAGATCTGCTGTTGTGGGAGACGTCAGTGATATCTGGGTCTCTTTTCTGGGTCTGAAAAGTCCACAGTGCCAGAGAGCTCTATCCCAGGAGTGGGACGATCCTCCCACATAGTAGGAAGCCGTGGGATTCCACAGCTGCTGTCTAAGCCTCGCTCCAGACAGAGGGAAGGAAAGACGGCAATGGAGAGACAGGGCAGAGGATGAAAGCGATGGTCCTTACCTGCTGTGGTGTGGCCCTGTCTTCTGCCTTCCTCTCTGATCACGGTCACAGTGACAGCACAGGGCTGACCTCTTTATTGGATTACCCCAACCGTGGTATGTGTAGCTGCTGGCCAATTGGGCTTGCTCTTGCCAGCGGGGCTATAAATAAGGCATCTCCAGAGAAACAACCATCTGTACAAGATAAGAACTCAGCCCCTCTGTTCTGCAAACCTTTTAAGGTATCCAAATTAAAAGAGTCTCAGCCCCTAGATGGAAAGGGGCTGCCAGTTCCCCATTTGATGTGCTTACCTCAAGGACACCCCAGCCTCACACGTATTCCAACTATCAAAAGCACAGCACCGAAGGGGTGTGGGGGAGGGGTGGTGACAACAATCACCAGCAAGGGCTTTCTTTTTGTCTGACAAGTAGCAGAGCTTACACAGGCTGGCAGGTCCACTCATCCTTGTGTCCATCAGATTAATAACTTTGAAAGGCAACGGCCAGGTCAAAAACTAAGGTGCTGTAAGGTGATTGCATTTTAAGGCACAGGAGTGGGAGTGTATTTCCCTTGGGCCACACATCATCTCTGTGGTCTATAAAACGTAGAGTCTCTGGTTGGTGCAGTTAATGTGCACATTTGCTAACTGAAATACTGAAGGTTTGAGTTTAACCAGAGGTGCCTTGGAAGAAAGACCTAGCAATCTACTTCTGAAAAATCAGCTGTATCAAAAACCCTACAGAGCACAGTTCTACTCTGACACACATGGGGTTGCCATGAGTTGGAATCCACTCAACACCAGCCAGTGGTTAGATATATACTTTGAGAGGATCCATGGGGAAGGTTTTTAGCACTGTCTCATGAAAACAGCACACATTTCCAGACTTTAGGTGGTATTTACTTGGGTGGAAAGAATTCTAGTGATGACTGAGGGATCCAGATGGTAAATGCTAAGCATGTGTCAAAGAAGAAAATCTTGTACACTGTTGGGAATGAAAGAAAAGGGGTTTTATTGAGGAAAAATAAAGATCAAGCAAAAACACAAAGCACTCCACTGTAGAGGGGGTCTATATACACAGAGAACAAAGGAGAGGTAGGGAGTTAATGATTGATTCTAGAGCCCTCTGCTTCTGCTTCCAGTCTATTGAAATGGAAAGGCTAGGAGGGAGGGGGTTCCCCTCCAGGTGAGTGGCACCAGCTGGTTTGGTTATACATGATTGTAGTCATGA